AGTGACCGGGATAAACTTGAATAATAATTGACTTAAGTACCCTCAATGACCTATAATTAAGCGAATGACTTGGATAAGTCAGGAAAAGCTTATGAACTTATGTGTTGTATAGTCCATAAGGGTTTTGAACCACGAATCAAGCACATCAACATTTCTTGATACTGTTACAATATAGAAAGGAAATAAATACCATTGGAATACTTGTTCGTCTCCCTAAGATCTATTCAATGATGATTCTAAAGATGGTCTGTTCGACTAGTGTTGTCAGTATTAAAGTGTGAATATCCTTGAAGTGCATCGATTTGTCTGGTTGACGGGTATCACAGTGTTGGGATTTGTTCGGTTCGAGTTAACTCAATATCCTGATAAATTGACATGAATATTAAATACCATGAATCATCATTTCACTCTTATTAGATTAAATTACTAAGAATTCTCCAAGAACCAATATCCAAAATGCCCCTGATTTCCTGTATAATGGAATCACCCCTATCATATATGAAATCTCAAGTAACTTTGATGCAAAAGATTATGAATACCTTCCTGATTACTTAGTGCCTCCAAAATATATTTGAATAATATATGATCTTGATAAATCACTTCTCGAATGATTGATGAATTCGATCAAGCCCTTTTTTATAGGGATATTGATTCTGAAATCCTATTAAACTACAAAGGTTTCATGGTTCCCTACCTGATAAATATCAAGTACATTCAGAGAATAACTGGATCCTCTAATGTATTCCCTATGTGACATGTAATTGTTTTACCTGTCATAAAATGTGATTTTTCAAAATTACGGATTTACTCATGTTTTGATTTACTTTTAATGAACTATGGTTACATGATATGTGTTATCTGATTTTCTGTTTTCATTAGAAAATATAACCATTCCTAATTTATGGATCATAGGATCTACTGGTTACTAATTGAATTGTTTTATTAGGACATTATCTGTGTAGGTTGGAGTACGGAGGTTCATCTCTGATCAAGCTGGTAATTCTTTACGGACCTAAGGAGACCTTAGGCAGGCTTTAAGGCCCCAAGGTACTCTCTTGGGTAAATCATGGGATTGTATATGGTGTATGGGTGGAGGCAATTATGTGATATAAATAACTTCATGGTCACTCTTACGATATTTTACTGGATCATGATTTTGATATTAAATTTACTGCTCAATCTAATTTTTACTGGATACTGTATGGGTAGGATTCTGGAGTATAGAGGTTCAGCTTTGATCAAGCTGTTAATTTCTTATATAGGTTCAGCACCGATGGACTGGTAATTCCTTATATAGGTTTAGCACCGATCAGCTGGTAATTCCTTACGGACCTAAGGCGACCGTTGGGTAGGCTCTGAGGCCCCGAGAACATTTATTGGGTAGTCTCTCAGGCCCAAAGATGCTCCCTTAGGTTGGCTCCTATACCCAATGGGTATAGGGTAAGTCTTTATAGATGCAATTCTAGGGAACTGCATATCGATGTTCGGTTGGAGGGTATTACTGTGGTTTTAAAATATGTTTTAAACTACTAATGTTTTTAAATGACCTATATACATTTTTTTGTTTTGTGAGAACACACTAGACATCCTATTCTGATCTCCTGAACTTGGTCCTCTGAATGTTTCCTCTAAACTGAAATCTTCATGTCTTTTACTCGAAGAAATATCAGTGGAACCTCAGCTTATCCCAAAAACCTGTAGACATCTTAATCAATAAAGAAAATTTATGTTTTTCCATTTATATGCATGTCCTTCAGCATCACTTGGTAGTTCTGTATTACTGAGCTTCTCAAAACTCACTATTTTACTCACTGTTTAAGGTTAAAAGAATTGATCCACTTTAGCTATCGAAATCTGCAATGGGAGTTCCTTTGGCTTGGGATGAAGAGTACAGTACAAGGGTAATTAGGGGGCATGTAGGTCACATTTGATTTTTATACTGAGTCTAATGTTTGAGTTATATGAATGATTTTCTGAACTTGTATTTTAATTATAACTTGTTTTATGATTTTACACATATTAACATAAATTTAATTTTTCCTGAATTTTTACTGTGGGTCGCTCCGGTGGCCCTAATGTGACACCTCAGATCGGATCAGGTCACCTGCATCGTTCTGAGGGTGTTACGAAACTCAAGCAAATCTGCACAACTTCATGGATGACAGTAGCATCCCAAACCACACATCATTAGAATTATCACTTGGTAAGTACCCTAATCACACAACATCATCAGATGAGACTTAGATCACATATCATCATAAACCCCGTATTATAAATAATCAAAATTTTCACTGATAAGTAATCGGACCATAACATCATGTCGAATTAAATCAAACTTAATTTTAAATTTTTCGAATCAAGTTAAACTCATTAATGTTTGAGTTTGACTCTACTCATTTACAACCCTAATTAAACCAATCCTCTAACCAAATTCCTCACCCTTGATTTCTCCTTCTGATTGAGAAACTTAACCTATAACAAATCACAATTTCTAATATTTCTGATGATGGTTTCTGGATTTTTCATCAATTTCTACCCTAAACGTTGTTATTTCTCCTTCTTTATTCTCTCCTTATTCTTGTTTGGACTGAAAGTTACCACCGATCCATCAGGTTTTTTCATTCCTGGGGTGTCATTTCCTTTTTCTGGTCATTGTCTTCAAACAGAACTCAAGTGAAATTTCAAAGAAAATAAGATTTTAGAATTATTGCAGAGTTTGAAAGGAGATGATGGAAAAGAAGAGGAAAGAAGAGACGTTTCAAAAGGATCGTTAACGGGCTTTTGAGATAGTAGAAATATGGGTTTTCTTTAAAGTGTGTATTTCTGTTTGAATTTGTACACTGAGCATCGTTATTTCAATTTTAGTTCCATGTATTAGTTCAAGTGGTAATAAATTTGATATAATTTAAATATGTATCGAATTTGAGTCTTTAAGTATACATAAAATCCTTGTTTAGAGACTCATATGTGCAATGCGAGTCGATCAAGGTGAAGTCTTAAAACTAGAAGGGCAAAAAAACATTCAAATAAATAATTATCTAGTGAAAATAAATAAACCTAAATAAATAAATAATTTTTTTAACAAAATTAAATGTAACTCTACAGGGAAAGGGAAAGGACATTATAAGAGAAGGTATGTGAGTGCTCCTAAAACTCATGATCTAAGAAAATATGAGAAAACAAATATAAACAATTTGACAAACTAATCAAATATATTTACTCAAAAGACGAATCTATTTAAATAAAACACATTTTTTAAAAATAATGTAAATTATTTGTTATCTAAAAATAAATGCGATCCTTTTTGGAAATAATAATACGTTACAAAGTCCTTGTTTCTGTTTAACCCTGAACTTTTTCACAAAGCCGACATTTACTTGTCGACAGTAAAGAATTTGGTTTTTTAAGGCATGGATTCGTTACTGTTGAAGCTAAGCTCCACGTGACTTTGCATTATGTTCTATGGTTTTTCCTTTTGTTTGGTTCTAATTCACTTATAGGTTCTTTTTTGTCCAGTAAATATTCAGGTACATTCTACTGAATTTAATATATAAATTACGTGCATATAGGATTCTTTCTCTATCATTAAATTACACCATAATTCTTTTGTTATTATAATATTATTTGTTCACGAAAATATTTATAAAAAAAAAGTTAGTAGCATAGACTGTACCTAAAAGTCACATGGTCGTGGTCATGGACATGTATGGATTCTCCCAATCCCTACAGGCTGCATACTGTCAGCAAAGACACACTTTACTTTTGTCTTAGACCAGCACTATTTGCCACGTTCACTAGAACTCTAGTCTTTTCTCCAGGGTTTTCCCTTTGTCTAATTTGTCATCATGACAAACAATCAGGCAACCATGCAACATTCACGAGACCCTGCCCTCAAATTCCATTTTACTTCCTTTTCTTTTCCAACTAATCATTCCTTCCCACAATATTATTTTTAACCAAAACTAAATTACCGATCCCATCTCTGATTCCAAACACAAATTTCTCTAGTAATTTAGGATTTAAAATATTTATATATAACAACAAAGACATGATTTTAGGTTATATAAATTATTAATAAGTTATATTAATAATTTATGAATGTAAAATTATAAATATAATAATAAAAATGATTTACAATTGAATAGTTATTTTCACTTTTATTTTAGGAGTAAATTGACTATTTAGTCAAATGTTAGAGGTCTTTTTACCTTAAAATAAAATGTAAGGGTTAAAAATACTCCAAAAGTTAAGGTTAAAATGACAATTTAATTACATGTTAGAGAACTTTTTAGGTATTATGTCAAAATTACAAAATTCTAAAGATGTAAAATGAGGTTATCATTAAAAATTATAATATAAATATATATATATATAGATATTTAAAATTTCAAAAAATTCAACCACTTGAACATCTCACAATTTATTCCCGCTTATATAACTAATAAATAACATCACGAACCAACTTACCTCATTGGTTAAAGGAATTGTTGTTGTTCTTAGAAATCATGGGTTTGAGCATCAACGACTACAACATGATGATTGAGCATTCAATGTCAAATAATTTTGGAGTATTTAGAATATATACTCCTTAGTAATTACCTTAATTTAATAAAAATGTGTTAAATAAATAATTTTCTAATGAAAATCTTTATATATATATATATATATATATTCAAACAAATAAATGACGAGCAAAGTATATTTTCTCGTTTAACCTTCAATAATGATTCCAGAAAAGAAAAACTTTTAATATATTGTGTCTTTCTGTCTGTTGCCTCTGTTTCTCTCACTTCATCACTTACTATACCAGTCTTGCTGCAACTTGATGACATAAATGAATAAAATTATCACCAGATTGATTCAAAACCCTTTATAAAGGGAAGAGAAGAAGGATTCTCAGATCATAGCAAATACCCCATATCTGTAGCAAATGTTTCCAAATTCTTTGTTGAGAGCATAGTTTTTAATAGTCTAAGGCAAAGATCTCAAGAGAGATTTTCATGGCGTTGGAAGCTGTGGTGTTTCAGCAAGATCCTTTCATTTATGGCGTTGGTTTTCAACAACAACAAGAACAAAAGGCTAATTACTGCAACACTGAGGAAATGCTTGCTAAAAGTGGAGGCTTCGGTTTCGGTGCAACATGGGGCACTTCATTATTCTCTCCGACGGACCCATCGCCAGTCGACGTTCGGTCTTGCCGGCCGAGGAGACGGCGAGTCAAAGTTGTCAAGAACAGACAGGAAATAGAGAATCAGAGGATGACTCATATTGCTGTTGAAAGAAATAGGAGGAGACAGATGAATGATTATCTTGCTCAAATTAGGTCTATGATGCCCAACTCTTACGCTCAAAGGGTACCTTTCTTTTTAAATCAGCAAAAGTAAAAAGTGATTTGATAAAAAAAATATTAATTTAATGATTTTTGGAAGTTTTCTTTTTTTCTTGGTAGGGGGATCAAGCATCAATCATCGGAGGAGCAATTAATTTCGTAAAGGAGTTGGAGCATTTTCTTCAGTCTTTAGAAGCACGGAAAAGCATGGCAAAAACACCAGATAATTCCAACCCTTTTTCATCACTCTTCTCAGATTTCTTTTCCTTTCCCCAGTACTCAACTGGCTCCAACGGTACCCACCTTAGCTATGCCGTTGCCGAGAATGGGTCATCATCACCGTCGCCCTCCGTTGCGGATGTCGAAGTGACAATGGTGGATAGACACGCCAACGTCAAAATACGATCGAAAAAACATCCAAAACAGCTCTTCAGCATGGTCTCGGGGATTCACTCTCTAGGCCTCCTCGTGCTTCACCTTAACGCCACATCTGTTGAAAATATGGCCCTTTATTCCTTCAGCGTCAAGGTAAATTTTCTTTAACCTAATCGAATTGATTGTCAGTTTCTTCAACATTTCAACACTTTCTTTTGTTATTATTATGATTTCAATTGTTTTTTTTTCTAGCAACAGATTGAAGAGAATTGTCAGCTAACAACAGTGAATGAAGTTGCAGCAGCTGTTTATGAACTGCTGGATAGGTTTCAAGAAGAGGCAACTGCTTAATTCATGTTCTCTGACTTTCAGGTCTGAACTAATTGTACTTTTATGTTAATTTTAAGACAATTGCTTGGTGGAAGTAGGTAGGCATGTTATAGGGCTGCACATTTACAGTCAAGCTGAGCTCAAGTCTTTGTCCAAAAGATGACATCATTATTCATAAAAAAGTAATTTATCTTTGTATTTTTATATTTATTAATTAAATTTAAATAATTATAATATCAAATACCATATGAATTTATATATCGTTGATATATTAAACATAAACCATCATAATATACAGATAATTTACTAAAAAATATTTTTAAAGAATTTATTGGACGACGTTAATGGTAAAGAGAATATTATTTTCTTTAAATGATTTAAATTTAAATAACTACGCTTGTAGGATGTTTATACATTATTATCAGATTAAGAAAATTTTCTGAATATATATTAAATTGTTATCATTCTATGATGCTCCTCATCTGTAAAATCCATCAACAAAAATAACTTTCAATCTTTTTTATAACAAAAGAGAATACTACTAATTTTCAAAACTTTGGTATATGAATGCCATATAATTCTTGCTATTAATTTGATTCCTATAATATATAAAATATTGATAATACGAATTTTGATTAAAAGTTCAGAACTAAAATAATAATTATTTTTTTAAATGAGTGTAGACATAACGACATGTTTACGAAGAAACCGTGGAGGGGATACTCAGCGACGGCGGCAGTTGCTTCACCAGCCACTTGACGAAGACTAGTCAAAAGTCACGGCAGATCTTGTTTCTCTTTGCCTGAATTGCATGTGTGTGTCATGTGCATAGATTTGGTATATGTTATTATATTGGTTTATATTTTTAATTCATAATTTGTGTAGAATATCTTATATTTATATTTTTGAGATTTTAGTAATTTGTATTATATGATTTTGAGATTTTATATATTCAAGTCATATTTTTATCATATTATATTATTTTGTATGTTATATTTAATCATATAATATTATGTTTGTAACGACTCAAAATTCAGATCAATATTCAAATGTTTATTTAGATTAAAACAAATAGAGTACTTGAATTCAGTTATTTTTTTAGCAAGATCTTGAGGGGTTTAAAAAAAGGAGCTTTAATCCATTTACCTTTCCCTTTCTCTTTCACGTTTTACTTTTGTTTCTAATGTTCACCTTCCAAAATGAAGTCTTTACTTGTTTGATTAAGTAGCTAAAGAAATTAGAGAGCCTTCAAGGACCATATAAAAGGGCAAGCTAATTAATGATTTATTTGAGAGAGTTTCTTGCTAAGTTTAAAGGTAGTGCCAAGGATCGTTCTTTTGTACCTAATAGATTCGCTCCAAACTTGAAGGCAAAAAAAGTGTATGTAAATGATCAATCGTTGTTTCTAGTAAGATTCACTACAGCAAAATGAGTTATTAGCGGCGTTTTTTTAACCCTATAGCGGCGTTTATAAGTGCCGCTAAAAACTTTCCCGGCGCTTGCAAAAACGCCTCAAGAAGTGCCGCTACAATGAGCGCCGCTATTGTTAGCGGCGTTTTTAAAAAAAAACGCCGCAATAGGTCAAGACATATAGCGGCGTTTGTCTTTACAAACGTCGCTATTGACTGTGTATTTAGCGGCGTTTTTTAACAAACACCGCTATTGACTTTATATTTAGCGGCGTTTTTCTTTACAAACGCCGCTATTGTCTGTGTATTTAGCGGTATTTTTCTTTACAAACGCCGCTATTGACTGTCTATTTAGCGACGTTTTTCTTTACAAACGCCGCTATTGACTGTGTATTTAGTGGCATTTGTAATTAAAAACGCCGCAAATAAGCCCATTATTAATGGCATTTTCATATAAAAACGTCGCAAATCACACTATTAGGAGTAGTTGCATAAAATAGAACTATACACATTGAAACTATACACATTAGTTCACCTCTAGGCATGACAACACTGACAATCAAAATAATAGAGTAATACTTCAATAACTTAGGAGCTATTAGTAAAGGCATACCGAATAATGAGAAATCAAAAACAAAACAGAAAACAAAATCCTTGATTCAAATGAGTTTAGAAACATATAGGCATGTTGACTCTCCAACTGCACGCTGACTCTCTTTGAGCTTGATCTGCAGTTCTTGCTGCAAATCCAAGCTTATTTTTCATCTTTGCTATGCTTATATAAACCTGTGCCATTATAATTTGATCCCTCATCAAGCGCAATGTGGAATCTGAATTATCATTCTCAAATTCTCTCCTCCATATGTTGTATCTTCTCAGAACAGCAGAGTCCACAGCTTTGGATCGCTCAATGGCAGCATTTTCAAGTTTCAAATCCCTGGGACCTTAGGAACTTGTAAACATGCCCACGTTTGCTTCCGTTCCAGTCACTACAAGAACGGATAAAATTATACAAAACAGATGAGAATGTGCTGCTCTGAGGAAATCATCAAACAGCAACACTAAACATTACGCTTACCCGCAGAGTATGACATGTGCTTGGTTGAGTTTATGTTCTCTCTGATATGTTTCATTGACTGCTACTTGTAATTTAAAATCCTAAAGTACCCATTGTGTACAACAATCAACAAACCTGTGGAAGTAAAAGAAAATATAAAATCTCATGACTGTTATTTGTAACTAGTGAATACTTTTAAAAAGAACTAGAATCAAAACAAAACATCAAGTAGTGAAGAAATTGAATTTAAATCTTTCAGGAAGGTCTGTACACGATATAAGGATTGTAAATAGCCTAAAAGATATCCCCATCGTCTTCCCCATCACTAGCAACTGAAAAGATGAGAAAATATGTGAACTATAAAGGAGCCGAATTTGGCCCCCAAAAGGTGAGAAAATGGTCATTCTTCGGTTAACGCTTTCGATAGGAAATGAGCCAAATAGAAGGCTCAAAGACTAAAGGTCATATGAATTAGACATGAACCACCAAACTGAAGAATAACAAGCTGCATAAAACTAACATCATAATTTTTTGTACCGAACATGGGGTTCTCTAACGATTTTTAGTCTATTTAAGTTTAATATACTTATAGTGAAGAAAACATATAAGAACGCCCTATTTATCTATGCCGTTTGCATTAAAAATTCTTAAAAAATGTCTACGTCATGGGAAGAAATGAGTTAAACGAGCATGTACCATCTCCTCGGTTATTGGTTCTTGCAAGCTTAAATGTGTTATAGCCGGCAGCACCGGTGTTATAGCCGGCAGCACCGAGCCTTTGTTCATACATTTGCACCAATTCTTCATTTCCAACCCAAAATTCCTATCATCGAACCAAAAAACCACAACAAAGATAAGGCTTATATCATCATATTTGAAATTAAGATTGTGCCTAAAAAAACTGTTAATAGAAGATAAGGGCACATGAAACCCACCTTGAGACATATAATGGAAGATCTTTCGTACAGCAGCCAATCAACTATCCTCTCATTTCTAGTTAACCAAAATGTTCTAAAATCACTTTCACGTACACTCTGATTTTGTTCCATAAAAAAAATGAAAATTAGCAGAATTTACAAACGGAAACAAATGAATGAAAGAGAGGAAGAAGACATCACCTGCTGGTCCAAGCGCTTGTAGATATGAGCCAGGATGTTGAAGGTGGTACAAGAAACACAAGGTCCGAGATGGATGAAGCAAATTTACCACTTTTAGTCCTCACAATCGTTCCTTTAAAAGGAACAGACTCATTTTTACTTGAATTAATATTAGCAAATTTAGGGTCTTTAAGTAAACTAGCCAACATCACCTGTTTCAAAAAAAAACATCAACAAGACAGCAAAATCGAAAGAGAAACAAAACCCAAAGTACAAAATTGCCATATACCATTTCAAAATTTTGCCGCCTAAGATTCCTGTGCTTATTGTTTTCGTAAGCAAGTAAAATAGGGAAAAGGGGGAAAATGTTCCTTTCTTCTTTTTTTGGTTCAGAAAGGGTGGTTGAATTGAAGTTTAGATTTTTCAAGGCTTGTGGACAGAGGCAGATGCAGGTGAAGAGTAATGAATTAATATGGTGGGGATTATTTTTAATTTGTTTCCACAAAAGTTATGGAAACAATCACTCATAAACAAACCGATCTAAACAATTTCGTTCGAAAATAATGAAAATTAAAAGAAACAAAGATTTACAAACGGAAATAAAAATTGGGATAAAATAATTATTGATATTTTGATGACGAATGAATCGAACCTTTTCGAAGAGCCGCTTTTGAGTTGAAATGAAAGAGATGACGATGAATGGGAAATTACAGAGGAATTTGGAATTTTATTCAAAATCTTATTTCAAATCCCAGAGTTGTTCAATAGTCCTAAATGCATCATAAGTAGAGTGTACAAATCCAAAAGTAACCCAAAAGAATGAATTAATTGATATCATTTCGAAATTAATTTTCCCAAAATCGTGTAACTAAAGTAGAACACTTGATCTCAAAATTTTCTAACAAAATCACATGTTTGTAAACTTGCGGCATTTGTAAACACAAACACCACTAAAGTACGAGTCTTTAGCGGCGTTTGTATAAAAACGCCACTAAATCACGAGTCTATAGCGACGCTTGTATAAAAACACCACTAAAGTACGAGTCTTTAGCGGCGTTTTTATAAAAACGCCACTAAATCATGAGTCTATAGTGGCGTTTGTATAAAAAACGCCACTAAAGTAAAAGTCTATAGCGGCGTTTATATCAAAATGCCACTAAATTATAGACTTTAGCGGCGTTTGTATAAAAACGCCACTAAATTACATTATTTAGCGACGTTTTTATAAAAACGACGCTATAGTAGAAGTCTTTAGCGGCGTTTGTTTTAAAAACGCCGCTACAAACGCCGCTATTAACCCATTTTGCTGTAGTGATTTTCAAGTTTGTCTGAGGGTGGTGAAATCCGAATTTTCTTGATTAATCAATTTGGACCTTAAAATATCTCATAATTGTTGTGAAAGAAACATCTATTTCAGCAGTGAAGTAAACTTCATTCTTGAATCTATGCTGTAAAATTGTTATTT